AAAAAACATTTCCATGCCTTGACGAAATGTGTCGAGCCAGGTTTGCAGTCGAACCCCCCATTCGACGTCTCCAAGCGGATAACGGTGCCGGTTTAATGGCAGTAACACGGAGTTCGTGAGGTCGACGACGAAGAACGTGCCCAAGTCACTTCAGTCGTTTTTCTCGGATAGCTTGAGACGAAATCGGTGTAGGCTACTCGAAGGATGGTCCTCAAACAGTGGTGGTAAAACACCCCAAGTTTCTGCTCATGTGCGCAACCTGACATTCCGAACTACAGAGAAGGGTTGTCCGGATGGATGCTAGCTACTCGGCGCGTGCACAGTTGGCTGATAGTAGGATGACATTCAGCGGAGATTAACTGCGAAATGGGCCGGCTCTTGGGCCTAATGAATAAACCGTCGCAGTCCAGCAGCGACAATACTACAAGAGTGCGGAGGGCTGAGGTCCGGCACACCACAAAGCCCGATGATGGCGCTGTGACATGGCGATCGTGAACCACTATTCGATAAGTTTGCTTACAACCATTATCTTGGGTTTAAATTATTGAGCCAAAACACTAGAGGAGACAAACTCAAAAATCCGAGCAGTTGCTGGCGACGCGCCTGTAGTCATCTTTCTGAAGAAACGTCATGGAATTCTGAAAGGTATTTTCGACTCAAAACAACTATTTTAGTGGGGGTGTAAGGGCAAGGCTCGTGCCGTCTGATCCCTAGGTACTTCTGGAGAAGCTTCTTTCTGGCTGCCTGCAAAATATATGTTCTGTAAAAGTGACTACTGAAGAAGTGCGCCTTTTCCTCTCTCTCACATTATCGTAAAGAAATATGCAGAGGTCATCCTAAATTTTGGGAGCAACCACCAAACCTGTCACAAAAGGAGTTCTGTCTACAGCCTCCTAAACCGAGCCAAAATTCACTGCTCTGATGAGGAAAATTATCAAGCAGAAATAAATTACCTATTCAACTTTTCTCTAAAAGCTGGTATCCACGAAATGTTGTGCGTCAGTGCGTGAAACGACAGGAATCAAAAGAAACGGCGTTTCAAACGATACAACCACCCAGACATCCAGCTCTATCATACGTGAAAAGTGTGTTTGAGCTTGTCGAAAGACAACTGAGAAAATAGCGGATACAAGTGACACACCAACCCGCAACCACCTAATGCACCTCAGCCCGCATACACGAACATCAATTAGTGGTCAAAAGACGAGACCACTTACACCAGATGGCCATGCAAATACTGGACACCGGCCACAAATTCGCGTGGGAGAGCACACGGATTGTTGGCACTTACCTAACGAGAAAAGACCGTGAATTCCTGGAAACAATGCACTCAGATGAAGCATGCATCAAGAGACATGTCGATTTGGACGCCAGCTCTAATGCTCTCAAGG